CAGCACCCGCGGGTTGCCCGTTACCGCATCAGGGGAGGGCACGGAGAGGGGCTTTTCCCACGGGAACAGGCCACTGTCAGAGCAGCCCCTTGTAACACATCACGTAACGTAACACAGCGGTATGACATAGTATCCCAGTACCTAAAGCTCAGCGGGGCACTCACCCTCGTGTCCTCAGCAGTAAGACTGTAGTTCTGCTCAGGGGTTTGTGGGGGGCTCCCGTCTGTCCCCGGAGCACGGAGCTGACGCCGGACCCCTGAATGCTCTGACCCCAGCAAAACTGGGGCGCAGGGTTCATTGCCAGGCTGGAGCAGCAGAACTGGTGCACGTGGTGGGTTGTGTTCCTGTGGTGGAGAAAACTTCCAAAGTGACTTACATAATGAAAATATCCAAGTTCAAAGCATTTCAGGGTGGAATAGAAAGGAATCAAAGGTTATTTTTTTACTGTGCTATTTTAACTGCTACAATATATCCTAAAAAAGTCATTAACAATCACTTTTAATAATTTTTTTTCCATTCTAATAGCAATTTGCAGTGATATATCACACCACCACACCTTCCATCTTATGAACTAAAAACGGAGGGAAGGATAACAGTCTGTGTAAACCCAGAATTACGGTCCAAGTAGTTAATTTCCTCTACACTTCAGTTTGTATGTTAAATTGCACATTCTATGTCAGCAGTGAAATTATGCAAGTAATGAAGCATATGTTTAAAGTTAGCAATGTTTCTAAGTATTTAAGCTGTGTTTTGAAGACAGCCCATGCCTTTCTACTACTATTCACAGAAGAAATGAAATATATTTAAAAATTAAGCACTACTTTTTCCTATTATCCTCAGGCCTACATTTACATGTGGAGGAGTTGTATCTGGAGAGTCAGGGTTTATTGGGAGTGAAGGATTTCCTGGAGTCTACCCTCCAAACAGCAAATGTACTTGGAAAATCACAGTAAGAATTTTTAATATCACAAAATCAGTGCTGAAGATAATGAAGAGCTATTGTTGTGAATGCCAGTCTTTTACATGGGATAACATATGTGCAATAATGAACTCAGTAATTCAGAGCAGCTCAACTATCTGGAGCTTTTTAGGGTTGCTGTAATATGATAATAGTGGCTGAAATAGAACTGACCTTGTCTAATGTCAGAGGCAAATTTTCATTGACTTCCATAGATACACCTCTACTCGTTCTAAATTAACCCATTGGAAAGCAAACATCTACATTTCCAGTCACAGCGGAAAGCAATAGTTAGATCAAATGGATTAAAGTAAAGCCATGAGGTGTAGATAATGAAAAGCAAAATTTGTTGGCAGGAAGACCTAGAAAAATTTTCAAGCAAAACCAAAAAAATTCAGTATTCAGGCAGGTTTGCTTGTACTGTGCTAATAACTGTGTTCTGCCAGGCAGGACATCTGGGGTATGTCATACAGCAAGCTTCCAAAGCAATAGGGAAGTGTTGTTACATTTATAAATGATCATGCAAAACCATGTGGAATGATTGATATTTTGATGATGAAATGAGACTGTAGGTCAGAGACATCGTATTCGTGGACAGCAAATGCCATTAAACAATGAGGACTAAACACTCCAGTGTTGGGTATGTCTTTATCCATAGACTCTGAGAAAGGGCTTGAATGAATGATTTCTTCTCCTTGCATCTGCACAAATTAAGCTCTCCAAAACTGCCCACCAAATTTCATCTCCCTTCTTTAGACACAGTTCACTAAGAACTTCCTAACACTCAGGCCTACAGTATGGGCTTTAGAGAAAAGAAGTACAGCATATACACCCCCCCCCCAATTAGTCTGTGTGTTGACAGGATCACTAAACTTCAGTTTAAAGACGCATTACAGGCTAGGTGTTGGCAGTAGAATAGGATGTCACAGCGTAATTGTCTCCTGCTACTATAGAGATGCTGACGCAAAGCGGGAGACATTGATCTGTTTACAGTGTTCAGTTAAAACGACTCTCGTACCAAATGAGTGATGTCATTTTAATCGTTTTATCTGAAGGATACCAGTGAGGCTGCAACAGTTGCTTTCTGTACCTTTTTATTGCATTACTATTAGGGCCACGTTAGAGGTTACCTTTCATCTGTGACTGACTTTATCCAGAAGAGAATGATGTGAAATACAGTGTATGTTCATAAACAAACTTGCTTCCTGCTATCGAGAGGCTGAGATTACAGCAGTTAGCATAGCCTACCTTACAGTCTGAAGAGCAGATGCAAATTGCATTTGGATTCATGCACACATGCCTTAAATAAAAGGGGAAAACCTCCCAACTTAGTTTACCAATGTAACTCAGTATTAGCTCTTCAAAAGTTTGGAATTTAATCTGGAGGAAATCAATAATTTTGATTGTAACTGCATAAATTTTCTACCATTAAAAAAATTCAGATTACAAACAGAGGCAGCACTGAGGAAGCATTTACTGAAGCATCCAATGGGTCTGCCCTTCATCATATATTGAGGATAGAGGGAGAAAAGAACTAACGATTTTAAAAGTCCGTACAGAGTGGTTTTCTTGCAGACTTCATGTGGCTGTTGCCATCCAGATGCGAGCATCCATGTTATCCTGGACATTGTGAGAACAGTTACCACAAAGCTGTGTGTCTGCACTTGGGCTTTACTGACAATGGGAGGAACTTGATGGCTTCTGGCATTTCATGATCATCCTGACTCCCATTTTTCTGCTGTGCTGCCATTTCTTCCTGCTCTTCGACTGCTGCATGCTTATTCTCTGTAGCTCACCCAGAGCCAGCAAAGGGCTGCACAACTCCAATAGTCCAGGCTTTCTTTTGTCTCCATCTCATTTAACCCCTACTAGGCAATATTGCTCACTAAGCCAAGCTGATTTTTTCCCCCCATCAACTGTGTAGAATGCCCTGTCCTTTGGATGCACAGGATGGAGGTAGGGAAAGCAAGAAGTACAAAACTTTCAAAACTAAGTCTGCATCCTCTTTAAAAAGAGGATGATTAACTAAACTGAGGAAAAGTGGTAAACTTGAGGGTCTGGTTAACCTGAATTTAAGCAACAAGATTCTTTCACTGGTACTGGTGAGGCTCAGAATAGCTTGCAATAGCACCCAAATAAGAAATCCAGTTACACAGCCATGAAGAAATATGCTGTAGTTACTGTAGAGCTTCCTTATTCAGCATCTGATCTTAGAAGGTGACTAAGGATTTTTGCCTGTCCGTTTAGCCAAGGGCTGTGAACACCTTCCTGAAAACACTCTGCTTAATGCAGGATCTGACAAGTCTGCAAGACTGGAAGAGACATTGATTCACTTTGCGTCTGGGTCACAAGAAGCATGAAGCTGTTGTTTTCTCAACTACAGGATCTCAGTGTCTATGGATGAAATCCACAAAGGCAGAGTGACAGCTATTTCATTCTTTAGAAGAAAATATGCTTAGAAAATGTTACGGGTAATACAGATAAAGCAATGTAGCATTCAGGTATCAGCTGAAATCTTTCCAATTGGTTTGCTAAACCTAAAAGAGTCTCTCTAACTCAATTATGGTTCTGTTATTTCAAGAGACTAGGACTTTTTCAGCTGGCTAAAGAAAACAGCTTCTCTATTCTAGAGAGCTCTAAGAAGTGTTCAGCACATGCTTGTGGTTATATTATAACCTTGGCAGACTACCCAGCAGCTTTTAGCTGGCTTTGCTAAGAAGTCATCTGTACAGCTATTTCCTTTCCTATAGTAATGTATGTAGCTTTATCTAAAACATGTCATATACATTTACTTCTAATACTCTGTAATCCTTCTTGGCCATCACCTCACATAAATGTGTCACACAGTCCAAGAATCTGGACTGCTGTCCTGTGTTTTTCTGGCAGACTGTGTAGTTCCCATAAAAGTCTAACAACTTTATGTGCAACAATAATATTGAAGACTGTCAGAGTTATGTAAGGTTATATTTTTATAGGTTCAGAAGCTGTGTTTCAGGAGGTTTGCTGACAATAAGCAAGGTTTGAAAAGGCTACTTATTACAGGAGCTGGGAATCTGCCCTGGGAAAGTGAAATATTTTAAATCATTTTCTCTGTTTTAAGCATTCATTTTCCCATATCACTGAGAAACTGCGCCTTCCAGTAGAGAACAGATCTTTACACATGGTTGTATTGCCAGAAAAGAAAGAGCTGAACAGAATCCATCGCCTTTTTGTCAAGAAGAGCAGCTAATAGGATTTTTTTACAGAGCTGTTCCTCTGTGGCTGGTGAGCTGGGCAACAAGCAACTAGGCAGGAACTGTGGTTCTTCCCACATGTAACTCCAAATAACTTTCACATTCGTTCTCAGTAGAGAGAAATAATATGTTCAGCTTGCAGGTAGCTGATGTGTTTTCCAAGTCAACCTAGGACTGCTAAGACAAAACATACTATCAGCATTTTGGTATTAAATTTTGGTATTAAACATACACCAAAATATATTAAACCCATCAACAAAACAGGCTCAATAAAATAGGCAAAATGTTTTCCCAGAAAGTTGGCATTTAAGGGTTTTTTCCTATCAAAAGATTATTTTGGAAGCAAATAATCTAAACCAAGTGATTTTGGAAAATACCACAGTCTGGGAATTCTCCCCAGAAACAGAGAGGCACAATGATGAAGAGGGCTTTGCATTCAGTCAGAACTACAGAAAACCAGCATAACAATTTTAAATATAAGTGAACTTTGATTAATATTATATGAATGAATTATATGCAATGAATTATATTTAAAAAAAAAGGACTTTATTTTGTGGTGGGTTGTATATATGAAATAATCATGCCCTTTTCAAGAGGTTAATAGTCTACACACATGACTTTAGGGAATTAAGCTGTAGAAAAACTCTAAAAATTCAGGGAGTGCTGTTTTCCTTTAGCCTTCAATAGAAGTAATGCATCCTTCACGAGTTTAGCATCATAATTTCTGATCCTAAAGAAGTCCATAGAGTTAAAATATGAAGGGAAACAGAGGGAAACAAAGTATGGGACAGTCACCCTCAGTGTGACAAGGAGATGCAGAAGCTAAAGTGCCTCTGTCGTTCAAAGATAACAGCTGGATAGATAAATCAGAAAATGAGGCACACCCTGCAGGGGAAGCATCACACTTTCTTCCTTTGACTTCTCCTCCTCTTTTTTTTTTTCTTTCTTTTTTTTTTTTGTTAAGAGCTGCAATTCCTTCCAATTCTTCCTCTGAAGTATCCCATTATCTAACTGCATCAGTCTCAGACATGGCTCAAAGTAAACAACACTGAGTCATGCTGGCCTTTGCTTTCTCCCCTGTGTTTCTCATGGAACAATATTTTAAATATCCTAGGATAAACATTGGCAGATTTTAGCACATTCGTTTTCAACATTTAAAAAAGGGAAATGGTAGAAATGAAAGAAAAGTGTTGTTTTGCAAGGACGACTGTGTTTAGGGTGGGATTCCTTGGGAGTAGCTGCAAACTGGAGTGGCTGCTGTCAGAATGTGGAACCACCATCCTCTGCACTCTTGAAAGCCGTCTGGTCAGACCACAAACTTTTAATCGATTTAACATGCTGGAACAAATTTGATATTTTTATGAATAATGAAAAACATTATTTTAATAAGCAGTGACATTATTTTATAAAGTAATGGCACTAAGTAGCGACTGGGATTAAGGGCCTCAGTTCACTCATTTCTGTAAATGACTTCTCTTCCCACATTCAGCTAAATGTGAGCAAGGATTATTCTGATGACTAAAATCTGGAGTAGGCTCCTTGTTAAACATTCGTGACCAACTGGCTGAGTTTTTCCTCCACATTTTTTACAAACAGTTGCAAAACAAAACTTGGAAACTCAGTACATGATAGGGAACATTCTTGACCAAGATTAAGCAAACTGAACTAATATAAATGCTGGTTCAATGTGCACAAAGCTGCCACTGAGCACCCACCAGCATCATTGAGGGATAACCACTTGGCTGAATCTGAATGCATTTCTACAAGGACAGCAAAAAGACTTTTTCTTACCCCAGAACCAGCCACCTCTCACGTTTCCACTTCCTTCTTCAAACTCTGGGAGGGAGTAGGTGTCTTCAAAGACACAATTCAAGCTGAGAAAGTAGGGAAAATATATCAGACATACTGACAAAACTATTTAATATGATAGAGCAACTTCTGCTCAACTTTCAGAAAACGCGGAAGAAAAAGGGAAAACTTCTTAAGATGGGCAAGTTGTAGCAAAACCACAAGACAGTAGAAAAGGTTGGACAATCTTAACTGTAGATGTAACAGCTCAGTCTGTTTTAAAACATGATGACCTTTAAAGGTCACCTCATTTGGATCCTGTTTTACCAGTTGTACAAACTTATGAGTAATGAGTGTTCTAGCCTAAATGACCGTATGTTATTTTACATTCATACTTCTGGAAAAAAAGGCTGCTTTAATTTAACTGCCTAAATCTGACCTTATCTGACTAACTTTCCAGCCAGCATTTTTTAACTGATTCGTCCGGTCACACAGAGTTTGTAGTATAACCATAAATAATATTCAGGTCTTCTGACAGGTATACCAAATTCCTTTTAGCTATTTTTCCATTACAAAGGCTCTGTCTTAATGCTGCTTAGAGATTCAGACCAGCAGACAAAGTGAAGAGACGAGTAAAGAGAATTAGTTATGAGAGCAGTGATTCAAGAAGTCATATTGCTTTCACAGAATAAATATACATGTGGAATATTTTCTGTTACCAGCTATAGGACTTGCTCACCTCAGTAGCCTGAGTTTTAAACCTAGTATCTGAAACATAGTCATTGTGGTTTGGAATTTCTGAGTAAGATCGAGTTTTGTGGTTTTGTTGTAGTAGTAGTAGTAGTAGTGATGATGTACGTCAGCACAGGGGAACCAAATGCATTTTTGAGTGAACCTTGAACTTAAAGGAACATACTCTGAAACCAGCAACAGGAATTGTAGTGGGGCTTGTCAGCCAGCATGTACATAGGGCCCAGGAAGTTGAAAACAGCTCATGCGTAAGTCTGTCCTGCTGCAGCATCACTATCAGCACCGGACATAAAAGCAGCTGCATGAATGAGTAATCTTACCATATCTACACTTCTTACCACATCTAGAGCTGCTGCCTGTATGAGTATCTTCTGTGGGTTAACTGGTCACTTCCATCCATAGCACCTCCATCTATACCTGACAAGGCATTTTAATGCTGTGAGTTTCAATAGGTAAAAACACTATTTGACAGTTTCATATAGAATCATAGAATGGTTTGGGTTGGAAAGGACCTTAAGATCATCTAGTTCCAACCCCCCTGCCACGAGCAGGGACACCACACACTAAACTGTCGCCCAAGGCTCTGTCCAACCTGGCCTTGAACACCTCCAGAGTTGGAGCATTCACAACTTCCTTGGGCAAATATACGAACAGTTTATCTCAAACTGGTGTTTTGAAATGAGTCACTCTTAAGGAAGGAAAAAATTCATGAACTCTTAAATAAAGTGGCTTAAATATGGACTTACTGCAGATATATTGAGTTATATATTTAAAAGCAGAAAATAGCAGTGTCTCAGTAAAATAGAACAGATGCAATTATTTTAATAGGTAACCACTCTTCTGGGCTATGGATTGAATGTAGATAATTACACTCTGCCTGTCTAGCATCGCTCTATATTGCAAAATACCGTTTCCCTTCTTCCTGTCCTGTTGCATAGCATTCAGTGCTTTGTTAGAATAGTTTTCACTTCTCAGTATGCTGCTTATTCTCTTAAAAGCTTGCAACTCTATCCCAGGAAATGTTCTCCTTGTAAACTATTATGCTTTCTCAATTTACATCCTTCTCAGTATTCTTGCCTCTTTTGCAATGTCCACAGATGCAGACATGTAAGAAGATTTGCTGTCTTACATTTCCTCAGGTGTTTCAGAAAACAAAACTCTTCTGTATTAAGGACACCCACCAATGGTTCTTTTGAATTCTCTGTTTGCAGTTTTATATATTCTTTCCAAATACATTTCTTTCAATGTAATCTTCAAGTTAAATGTCCCCACTTCAGTAACTAAATGTTAGGGTTGTGCAGCACTAGCCATAAAGTTTCCAATTCTATTTATAAATGTAAGTTACGTGTCAGTAAATAAAAAACTCCTTCAAACTATGAAACTTGATGACACAAATCAGCCAAATAAGAGAGGCCATTTCATTTGTTCAAAATTGTTAATTGCTGCTTTTACTGTTTTTTTTTTTTTTACCATATTGCTCTCATCCTTCTCACTTCACTTGGTGACAGGGAGCTGCATGGCTGATTGCACGCTTTCAGCAGAAAATAAGAGAAACATGCCAAGCTGAATTGGGTGGTGATGCTATATAACCGACTATATGAGCCTGGCTAGACAATACTGTGGATCAGGAAGAAAATAATGGCAACAGAGATGGCCAGAGCTTTGTTTTTAGGACTGGTATAATATGATTTTAAAAACCTTTCTGCCTGAAGTATACTTGACAAAAAGAGCCTACCTGGCAAGAAGTGAAGGATATGAAAAATATTCAAATAGTGGGGTCAGATAGACATGTGGCATCAGCCACACTTCGAGATACATCTCTCCCTCCTTCCCTCTCTCTGCAGGTCCCAGAAGGAAAAGTGGTGGTTCTTTCTTTTAGATATTTAGACCTCGAAAGCGACAACTTGTGCCGATACGATTTTGTGGACATATACAATGGCCATGCCAATGGACAACGCATAGGCAGGTTCTGTGGTACTGTGAAACCAGGTGCTCTTGTATCCAGCAGCAATAAAATGTTGGTGCAGATGACTTCAGATGCTAATACTGCTGGAAGTGGATTCATTGCAAAGTTTTCTGCAGCAGAACCACATGAAAGAGGTAATTAACAATTACATATGTGCTGAAGAGTAATATAACTGTACAACCCTATGGAGAGCCACATTAATGCTTAAAAATATGTAATGCCAGAGATGCTAGGTATTGTGCTGTTCAACACATTCATTAATTATCCTGATGAGAAAATCACAAAGTATAACTGTTTAATCACAGTCAATTAAAGTAGTAAAGAGAGTGGCTAACTACTGTAAGACTTGCAGAAGAACTGCACCTCATAGTAATATGGTAATGGCTAGTCAATAAAATGGCAGATGAAATTCAATACAGATAAAAGTTGCAAATAAGGGGGAAACATCTTAACTTCATGTACACTACAATGGGCTCTTGTCGTGGTTTAAGCCCAGCCGGCAACTTGGAACCACGCAGCCGCTCGCTCACTCCCCCCCCTTTTCCTTCCTCCCCCCGCTCCCGGAGGGATGGGGAGGAGAATCGGAGGAATGTAACTCCCACGGGTTGAGATAACAGCTCTCCAGTAACTAAGGTATAATACAAACCACTACTGCTACCAATAATAATGATAAGAGGAATAACAAGGGAAAAGGACACAACCGCTCACCACCCGCCGACCGATACCCAGCCCGACCCGAGCAGCGATCTGGGCCTTCCGGGTAACTCCCCCCAGTTTCTATACTGGGCATGACGTGCTGTGGTATGGAATACCCCTTTGGCCAGTTTGGGTCAGGTGTCCTGCCTCTGCTTCCTCCTGGCTTCCCCTCCTCTCTGGCAAAGCATGAGACTGAGAAAGTCCTTGGTCAGAGTAAACATTACTTAGCAACAACTAAAAACATCGGTGTTATCAGCATTGTTCCCAGACTGAAAGTCAAAAACACAGCACTGCACCAGCTACTAAGAAGGAGAAAAAATGACTGCTGTAGCTGAACCCAGGACAGCTCTGAATTTACTATTACCACTTAGGAATGAGATCTCAGGTTTAAAATAGATAACTTATGAAAACATTAGTTGAGCATCAATCCAGTGCTCAATAGGTATCAAAAAAGGAACAGAAACTTATCAATTTATTGAAAAGGGAATAAATACCAACCAAAACAACAAATTATGCCCCTATAATGCATTTACATCTTTAATACTGTGTGCCATTTGGATGTTCCCATCTTAGAACAGGATATAATAAAACTATCAGAAGCAATCAGAGTCAACAAGTATGAAAGAGTTACGGAACATCTTCTACACAGAGACCAGCTGCAAAGCATAGAACTCCTTCATGCTGAAAAAGTGAAGGTCAAGAGGAGTGTAGGAGAGGGCTCTAAAGGCATGGCTGGTACAGAGAAATTCAACAGGGACCACAGTCACTGTCTCTTCTTATACAAAAAACAGATGAGCAAGGGGCCGAAAAGGAGAAGTGATTTTTCTCAGTGAGCTGTGAAGTGGCGGAGTGCTGTGACAAAGAACATTGTGGATTGTTAATTTCTACACTGGTTTAAAAACAACTAGAAAAACATATGAAAGAAAAAATTGTTAGGTATTATTAAACATAAAGGCATTGCCTTGTGCCTGGGAAGACCATGAGCTGCGAGAGGCTGGAAGGTTACAGGGAGGTGCCATCGCCCTGCTGAGGGACTCTCTTTCAAGGCTTTTGCCATTAGCACGACAGCAGATTAGACAGGTTGTTAGGCAGACACAGTGCAGGTGATGAGTAATTCCAGTTGTATCCCTGTATTTCTAACTTCTTGAAAGATATATTAAATGACTGGTGTGATACAGTTAATTTAATAAAGGAGGTTCATAATCATATTATAAATAAGGATTACATACATGGTATAGCTTTGTAACTTGGGACTGTGAGGAGGAGATATGGAAGGAAAAAAATCCCTCTCTGTCACGGGCTCTGTGGGCACTGTGGTTCCTCCAGCAATACCCATCAGCCCCCCAACACAGCTTCCCTAGTGGGCTGTGGGGAAGTCCTCCAGCACCTGCAACTCCTCCTCCTCCAACCCTGGTGTGCACAGAAATGTTTCTGACTCCTCTTTTTTATCCCCCTCTTCATCTACATTTGGCTTTTTCTGCCCTTAATTAAATACATTCTCCCAGAGGTGCCACCAGCTGAGCTGAAGGGTTCAGCCACGTCCAGTGATGGGGCTGTGGCAGGACTGGCTGGGACTGGCCATGTCCTCTCACCGAGGCCCCTGCAACAAAACAAGTGCATTACTGGGGCTACCTGCATGCTGTGGCACTGGGGTCAGCGTGGTGTGCTGTGCTTGCAGGGGACCAGTACTGTGGGGGACGACTGGAGAAGCCATCAGGGTCCTTCCAAACACCCAACTGGCCAGAGCGAGACTACCCAGCGGGAGTTACCTGCTCCTGGCACATCGTCGCCCCAAAGAACCAGGTAAGGTGCTGCCATCGCCCTGCAGGTACAGCCCAGCTTCCTTTGCCTACAAGGACTAACACCTCATGACAGCCTGCTTGCACAACACGCTGCCTGCGTTGCGCTGGAACAATAAAAATGCTATCTGGCTGACACGTGAAGCTGGGCTTGTGCAGGGAGTACAGGCATGCCTATGCTCCAGCAATAGCTGCTTTCCTCTCCTGTATTGCCTGGCTCACTCCAGTAACTCCTGTGATTTCTCTACATTGCATGTCCTCCTCTGTCACTGATATATTCATGTCATATATAGAATGGGTTGGGTTGGAAGGAACCTTAAAGCTCATTCAGTTCCAACCCCCTTGGAACTAGGGACACCTTCCACTAGACCAGTTTGCTCAAAGCCCCGTCCAACCTGGCCTCGAACGCTGCCAGGGATGGGCTAACCACAGCTACCACAACCTGTGCCAGAGCCTCATCACCCTTCCAGTGAAGAACTTCTTCCTAATACCCTGTCTAAACTCCTTCAGTTTAAAACCTCCTTAAACAAACAATTTAAAGCATCTGTAACTGGTGAGGTTTTTAAAACAGGCATTTTAAAGCTTATTTTGTTAATTAATAAAACATCATGCAAATTGAGTTAGGGCAGATGATCATCTCAGGACCAAACATGATCACAACCAATGCTACATTGAAGTCTAACAAAATTTGCAGCATTTTTTGGTGTTGCCATGGTTTGTTACTGAGGTACCCAGGTAGAGCTGATTGAATTTATTAAAAGCAGAAATTCTATTCTGCCTACAGTACAGGGAATATATTCAGATGTGTCCTGCACTGGAATTTTCAATGTACATTTCATTAAGTTTTGTTTCATATTTTGAAGGCATCATCTCAAAATATGCTTCCTTAGTTAGCCAGATAACATCAGAGCATATGTTACAATTTCATTAAGCCCTGAAGAGATGTGACAGCAGACCAAGAGGGCTCATTTGCCACACATGGCAAACACAAGTGTGTTCCCTACA